GATACCCTTGGTGACGCCACTCAAGAGGAGAGGTGGAAGAGGAGAAGCGACGCGCCAGCCACATTTTGCGAGCCCGAAACAGATAGCGACCGCACCCCCAAGGCACCCTATTGTGGCGTCGAGAAAATGCAACGCTTGCCACGCTTTGCGAAGCCGAAGCGGATATCGACCGCACCCCTGGCGCACCCCCTGTGGCATCGAGAAAGTACAGCGCCTGCCACGCCTTGCGAGCCCGAAACACCCCCAGCGCACCCCTTTGGTGGCGCCGAAGAAGCGTCACGCCTGCCACGCTTTGCGAGCCCGAAGCGGATAGCGACCGCCCCCCCAGCGCACCCTTCGGCGTCGAGAAGTTGCCACGCCTGCCACGCTTTGCGAGCCCAGAACGGGGAGCGACCGCACCCCCAGCGCACCCTTTGTGGCGGTGAGAACGTGCCACGCTTGCCAACGCTTCGCGATGCCGAGACGGATATCGACCGCACCCCGGGCGCACCCCCTGTGGCATCGAGAAAGTACCGCGCTTGCAACGCCTTGCGAGCCCGAAACGAATAGCGACCGTACCCCCAGCGCACCCTTGTGGCGTCGAGGAAGTGTCACGCCTGCCTCGCTTTGCGTGGCCGAAACGGGTAGCGACCGCACCCCCCGCGCACTCCCTTCGGCGTCGAGAAGTTGCCGCGCCTGCCACGCTTTGCGAGCCCGGAACGGATAGCGACCGCACCCCCAGCGCACCCCTTGTGGTGTCCAGAAAATGCCACGCCTGCCAGGCGTTGCGGCAGTGTCGTGGACTGAGAGACCGCCCCCTGCGCACCCCCTAAAGTGCCACGCATGCTAGGTTTTGCGACAGTGTCGTGGATAACGGCCGCGCTGAAAGACCACCCCCTGCGCACCCCCTGTGGTGTCCAGAAAGTGCCACGCCTGCGAGGCTTCGCGACATTGTCGTGGATAGCGGCCGCGCTGAGAGATCACCTCCTGCGCACCCCCTGTGGTGTCCAGAAAGTGCCATGCCTGCTAGGCTTTGCGACAGTGTCGTGGATAGCGGCCGCGCTGAGAGACCACCCCCTGCGCACCCCCTATGGTGTCCAGACAGTGCCACGCCTGCGAGGCTTTGCGACAGTGTCGTGGACAGCGGCCGCGCCGAGAGACAACCCCCTGCGCACCCCCTATGGTGTCCAGAAAGAGCTAGCCTGTTTGCATTTGCGACACTGTCGTGGATAGCGGCCGCGCTGAAAGACCACTTGCTGCGCACACCCTATGGTGTCCAGGCAGTGCCACGCCTGCGAGGCTTTGCGACAGTGTCGTGGATAGCGGCCGCGCTGAGAGACCACCCCCTGCGCACGCCCTATGGTGTCCAGACAGTGCCACGCCTGCGAGGCTTTGCGACAGTGTCGTGGATAGCGGCCGCGCTGAGAGACAACCCCCTGCGCACCCCTATGGTGTCCAGGAAGTGCCACGCCTGCTAGGCTTTGCAACAATGTCGTGGGTAGAGGCCGCGCTGAAAGACCACCCCCTGCGCACCCCCCATGTGTCCAGAAAGTGCCACGCCTGCCAGGCTTTGCGACAGTGTCGTGGATAGCGGCCGCGCTGAGAGACCCCCCCTGCACACCTCTTAACATGTCCAGACAGTGCCACGCTTGCTAGGCTTTGCGACAGTGTCGTGGATAGCGGCCGCGCTGAGAGACCACCCCCTGCGCACCCCGTATGGTGTCCAGAAAGCGCCACGCCTGCTAGGTTTTCCGACAATGTCGTGGATAGCGGCCGCGCTGAGAGACCACCCCCTGCGCCCCCCATATGGTGTCCAGAAAGTGCCACGCCTGCGAGGTTTCGCGACAGTGTCGTGGATAACGGCCGCGCTGAAAGACCACCCCCTGCGCACCCCCTTATGGTGTCCAGACAGTGCCACGCCTGCTAGGCTTTGCGACAGTGTCGTGGATAGCGGCCGCGCTGAGAGACCACCCCTTGCACACCCCCTATGGTGTCCAGACAGTGCCACGCCTGCTAGGCTTTGCGACAGTGTCGTGGATAGCGGCCGCGCTGAGAGACCCCCCCCGCGCACCCCCTTATGGTGTCCAGACAGTGCCACGCCTGCTTGGCTTTGCGACAGTGTCGTGGATAGCGGCCGCGCTGAGAGACCACCCCCTGCGCACCCCCTATTGTGTCCAGAGGTGCTGTGCTGTGTGGTGCTGAGGGGTGCTGTGCTGAGGTGCTGTGCTGTGCAATGCAGTGCTGAGATGAGCTGTGCTGTGCTGTGCTGTGTACGTGCTGTGTGTCAATGTGCTGTGTGCTGAGCTGTGCTCTGCTCTGCTCTGCTCTGCTCTGCTCTGCTGCGCTGTGATGCGCTTGCTGTGCAGTGCTGAGCTGTGCTGTGCTGTGCAGTGCTGTGCTGTGCTGTGCAGCGCTGTGCTGCGCTGTGCTGTGCTGTGCTGCGCTGTGCTGCGCTGTGATGTGGTGTGTGAAAGGATAGGGAGGAGGAAGGTGGGGTGTGAGGGCCGCGGGTGCGACGAGGCAGGGAAGAAAACCAGAACCCCACTAAGAATGTTGGGAACTAAACAAAAACCCTGGGTCCACGCCCTTTCTGGGAAAACGAAGTCCCAGATCCAGATAAATATCCCTCCATCCCCCGCCTTCCTTTTAGCCAGTGTTCCTGCATATTGCTCCGTGCTGTCCTGTCACTGGATCAGTTTGACGCGAAACGTGCGCATTTTGCGCGAACCGGCTTTCGCAGGATTGGAAATTTCTAGGCGAGACATGATCGAGTCAGGGTGAACGGGCGTTGCTGGTTTTGCTTCGAGGCCGCCCTTGCCTATGATGGGCCAGTCGTCCACCAGCACCATGGTTAGGACGGGGGAGAAATGATGATGTGGAGGTCCTCTTCCTGTTCCTTTTCCTCCTCGTCATCCTCCTCCTCTTCCTCCTCCTCTTTTTCCCGGAAAGGGCGTAAGCCCAGGGTTCTCTTTCAGATGGTTTACCCCCGGGTTTGATTTGAGGTGGACCAGCTAATTTCTTTTGCGAAAAATATCGAGGTCGAGGTGGGCCGGCGAATTAAAATGTGAGGATGTCTCGAGCCAAACGCTTGTTGTTCTCAATTTGTTCAGGCTGTCTCGAGCGAAACGCTGGTTTTGCAGAGTTGGGGTATGCCTCGAGCGGGGCCTCTTGGGGGGCGAGAATTCAAGGGATGTCTCAGGCGAAACGCTTGTCGCGCGGTGCGTCCCCTGGCACGTTCCGTGGCACGTCCATTGGCACGTTCCGTAGCGCGTCCCCTCGGCACGTCCCGCGGTGCGTCCCCGTGGCACGTCCCTTGGCACGTCGCCTGGCGCGTCCCTTGGGACGTTCCGCGGCGCGTCCTCCTGGCGTTCCCCTGTCAATTCGCTCTGGGGCAGCTAATATGTGCTGAGGCAGCTCGAGCTTAAGATCCAGATCAGTTCGGTCAGGACTCGAATGCAAAGGAGGACTCGATCCACAACGCTATAAAGCACAATCGCGGCATGGCGCATCGTAGTTCAGCACGGCGCAGCACAGCACAGCCTTCGGCACGGTACATCAAGATCGATATTTTCACCATTGCAACTTGGCACGTTCCGTGGCGTGTCCCGTGGCGAGTCCCCCTGCACGTCGCGCGGCGCGTGCCCTGGCACGTCCCGTGGCACGTCCATTGGCACGTTTCGTAGCGCGTCCCCTTGGCACGTCCCGCGGTGCGTCCCCGTGACACGTCCCTTGGCACGTCGCCTGGCGCGTCCCTTGGGACGTTCCGCGGCGCGTCCTCCTGGCGTTCCCCTGTCAATTCGCTCTGGGGCAGCTACTCTGTGCTGAGGCGATCCAGATCAGTTCGGTCAGGACTCGGATGTAAAGGAGGACTCGATCCACAACGCTATAAAGCACAATCGCGGCATGGCACATCGCAAATTCAGCACGGCGCTGCACAGCACAGCCCTCGGCACTGTACATCAAGATCAATCCATTCAGCATTGCGTTTGCCCGTCGCCCAATCAGGTGTCTTTGAAACGTTGCCATGCCTTACATTTCTATATTCCTTTCCGGGTTCGTGGGTCGATCATGTGTTGTTCATCCTCCTCTTCTTTTTTATCCTCATCCTCCTCTTCTTCCTCGTCCTCCTCTTCCTCCTCTTCGTTTTCATCCTCGTCCTCATCCTCCTCCTCCTCCTCCTTGTCCCTATCTTACCTATGGTAGTGTTGGTGGAAACTTGGCCTATCAGCTTAGTTCGCCCGCAGAGGTGCAGAGACAAACGTGTTTCGAGCGTCGCGGTCTGGACATGATGGACGACTTTGTCCAGGGCGTCGTGCGACCATAGGCGACTCAGGTGATGCCCTGAATGCGAAGGCGTGTTTGAGCTGCGGTAGGCAATGCCCGCGCCGTTCGGCAGGCAGCTGACCTGCGCCTCCCTGTCCTTATGCTCCGCCTCCATCCCCACCGCCGGACGCTGCATCCAACAGCGCCAACGCCACGCGACAGGCACCTGGTTCATGCGAGACGGTGGGACATTCCCAAAACAAGGATGACGTCCTGGCCTCGAGAGCGGATCGGACCATGGCCGGGGCCGCTGCCCTCTGACTACAGATCGGACGAGGTCTCTTTGGCATCACAAGCCGCAGGTGACATTGGGATGCTCCTCGTCCATGGCCTTCAGCGACAGGGACTCTTGGGAGGTGCCCCCGCGCTCTTCGCGCTCGGCGCTCCCCACCTCTCCACAGGAGGAAAAATCAAGTACGCGAGCGACACGTTTCGAAGATCCGCGCGGATGTCTCGGATCTGCGCCAGATCCCCGTGGCGGCGCTTCTGGCGCCGACCTTGGCGCGCTCCGCGTGCCAGCGTGCTGTCGCTCGGACATGTGCAGTAGACCATCGGGGAGCATCCTGGATCGTCTTGCGAACCATAGGACGCACGCACGAAGTCGAAACGTGCCAGAGGGATGCACGTCCGAGCGACGGCGAGGGATCCCGCTCTTGTACCCGAGCTCTCTCGTGGCCCACGGCCTCGGCCGGACGCAGGACGAGGAGCGCATGAAGAAGGAGGAGGCCGCGAGGCGGCCGCTCCGCTGCAGGAGGGGGAGGAGGATGGACGAGGATGATGAACGAGGGAGAAAGGGGGGAATCAGGCGATCGCAAGCATGTATCAAGGGGCGAGGATTAGCGAGGGGTCCCGTCTCCATGGAAAATCGCGGATTTCCGCCGCCGAACGAGGCGGCACCGGCCGCAGTTTGGGGAGGGCACCTCCCCCGAACCGCGCGCCAAATCCACCCCGAGAGGGGGGAAGGGATGAAGGATTGGGCATCTCCCGGACGTGTGCATTCTTCCCCGGCGAGGCCCATCGAGGAACATTTTGGCTCATCGTCCAGGGGATGCCGAGGAGAGGGGCGCTTAGGGGAATGATGATGGTGATGATGACGACCATTAATATCAGGATGGTCAGCATGGAGAAGATGTTCATGATCATGCTGTTGATGTTGGATACTGATGGTGGCGGTCGTGGTCGTAGTCGTGGTCGTGGTTGTGATGGTGGTGGGTTTGTGGTAATGATGATAAGGAGAAGGAGGAGGAGGAGGAGGAGGAGGAAGAGGAAGATGAGGATGAGGAGGAGGAGGAGGATGGTCATGATGTTTGCTCGTAGGATGGCGATGATGAGGAGGAAGGTGCGGAGGACGAGGATAATCAGGCCGATGAGGAATGGCCCGATGTGTGGACGAGGAGGAGGGGCTCGATGAGTGCTGCGTCCTCCCACCCCCCCTCCGTCTTTCTTTGCCCCACCGATGGTATTCCGTGTTGAGCTTCCCCTGTGTGACAAGTGCGCAGGTCCCTTGCAAGATGCGGGAGAGGGGTTCTTGAGGGAAACCGTGGAGAGAGCAGGCATAACCAGAGCCTGAGGCGCTACCAGTGCTCCACCCTTCTGCAGCCTCTTTGGCACAAGAGTTATCATGGTAGCGGAGCTGGCCACGGCCAGCTCCCGCTGGGCCCCCCCCCCCGCGCGTAGGGGCGTTGGCTATAGTTTTCGCGGCCGCGGCCGCAGGACGAACTTTGACCCACTCCGACCAGCTGACACAACAGCTGGGCAAGGTCTGCGTGACCAAGCAGCTGGACAAGGTTTACGTGACCAAACAGCTGGACAAGGTCTACGTGACCACAGATGCGTTGAACGAGGTCCACGTGGCCACAGGAGTGCAAGACGAGGTCTACGTGACCACAGAGCAGAAGGACGAGGTTCACGTGACCACCGGGCAGAAGGACGAGGTTTATGTGACCACAGAGCTGAAAGACGAGGTCTACGTGACCACCGACGAGCAGTACGAGGTCTACGTGACCACACACACGCGCAGTACGAGGTCTACGCGACCACAGACGAGCAGGACGAGGTGTACGTTACCACAGACAGGGAGTACGATGTCTACGTGACCACAGAAAAGGAATACGAGGTCTACGTGACCACGGACAAGGAGTACGAGGTCTACGTGACCACATGCAAGCAGGACGGGGTCAATGTGACCATGACGGAGCCTGGTGCGGAGTGGCAGGGCATCGGGCCGAAACCACCAACGTTCGACGGCCAAGAGGAGACGTGGACGGAATGGACTTTCGTGATGAGGGCGTACTTGGGAGGTCAAATTTCGCAAGCGCTGAACCTCCTGGGGGCGGCTGAGCAGCGAGGAGATCCATGCATCAGCATGGCGGAGAGCTTGCGTCGTCTGGGAGCTGAAGGAGTTACGGCGACGGAGGAGATGTTCATCGCGCTGGCCATGACAGCGAAGGGCAGCGCGCAGATGCTGATCAGGAGCGTAGGGGATCAGAACGGAGCGCTGGCGTGGCGAGCGTTGATCAAACGTGCGAGCCTGCGACGGTGATGAGGGCGCAGAGTATCACGACGACGGTTCTCAATGTGAAGAACATGCCTTCGGACTTGGCGGGGCTCGAGCAGCGCCACTCAGACTGGGATCGCGACATCAGGCGCTACGAAGCGGCGTCGGGGCAGGCGTTCAATGCAGGAGTCAAGAAGAGCATCTGCCGACAGAAGGCGCCGACTAACATCAGGGCGGCCTGCAGACGCAGAGCGAGAGAGAAGTTATGACGAGCTGGTCGGCACCGCGACGCAGCACCTACAAGCGGCAACGGCGCGCGAGGATGGGCGCCCGCAGAAGTGGCGAAGCCCGCCAGGGCCTGGGGCAGAGGACAGCAAGGGAAACCTAACCTCAGGAGCCATGGGGGTGGACGCGCTGACACGACAGTATCCCAAAGGCAAGGGCAAATGCGGCGAAGGCAAAGGTGGAGACAACCTAGGCAAAAGCAGGAGCACATGCCAGAAGAGCAAGGGCGCGGAACCCATGGCGGGGGCGGCAGCAACACGGCAGCCAGCCTGGAATATGCCAGGGGCGCATGGGGCGAGGCTATGCTACGCGTGCGAACAGAGGGGGCGCCGCGCACGGGGCTGCCGGCGCCGACGGGGGAAACCCAACAACGACCAGGGCAAGCAGAGGGCAGAGAAAACGCAGACAAGGGGGGGCGGACGAGATCGCGATGCACGACGGCTGGAGCGACATCATCACACCACCACCAGGGAGTCCAGCACCGTCGACAGCAAGACCTTCAGCCAGTCAAGTGGGAGCAAGTGTTCGAGCGATCACCACGATAGACGAGCGCGCGGCAGATTGGAAAAGTGGTCCCATTTTCGCAGTTGCGAAGGGCTGGAGGCCAACGGTGCAGGAGAGGAAGGTCTACAGCATGATGGGGGGCGGCGCGCGGCGTTCGTCCTGGATGTTGACGGGCAACTGCGCGGATGAGCGCGTGCGCGGCATCGGGGACTTCCCGAAAGTGGAGCTCAAACCAGGGCGCAACCCCAGCCCGGCGGTCGCAGACGGCGCGCCGCTGAGGCATTGCGGATCGTAGACGGTCACATTCTACATCGCAGGCGACAGACGCATCGCTATGGAGTTCCAGGCCGCCGACGTGGAGCAGCCCATCATGAGCGCGGGCAAGTTCTGCATCAGGATGGGGAACCGCGTGGCTTGTCACGATGGCAATGGAGGGCTGCTGGGGGCACGAGACGGCAGGATTGGTCAAGCTCAAGAAGACCACTACGCACTGGAGTTGTGGACTAAGATGCACGGCGACATGGGGGAGGTCCGCGAGGAGATGACACGACTGGCGCCGATCGGGGCAGCAGTCGAAGCAGCGCGACCAGGCGAAGAGGACGGAGACGGAGACGCAGTTCAGCGAGCAATGGAAGGAGGGCCAAGAGTGCTACCACCAGGGGAAGGCAGCAACCGCAGGTCTCATCTCGAGGAGCTGCAGGGGCATCGCGGATGTACCGCCAGAGGGGCCAGCGGCAGTCCCCGACGACCGCGAGACGGCGAGGCCCGAGACAAGGGGCAGTTGACGACGGACTACCTGGATCTCGCGAGCCAAGTGCAGAGGAGACCGAGAGACACGAGCTGTCGCACTACCCAGTTGAACCATGGTGCGAGATCTGCATCCGGGCGAAGGCCGACGACACAGCCCACGAGAAGAAGGACAGGCGCGGCAAGATGATCCCATTGCTGAGCTTCGACTACGGAGAGGCGGGCATCGAGGGGGATCCCGTCAACTTCGGGTTCGTAGTGGGCAGCTGCGCTTCGACCGGGGGCATCTGGAGCGTGGTCATCATCCAGGAAGGTCGAGACGACGTCTACACAGTGGCTTCGGATGTTTCGTGGCTGGTTGAATGTGGACACTCGCGAGTGGAACTACAGGCAGGAGGGGCAGCCGAGTTCTCATTCATCATGGCAGCCAGGGCCAGGGCGATCACAGACGGCATCTGCGAGACGATCCCCATGAGGCAGTCGGAGAGATACAACAGCCAGTCGAAAGGCTGGGCGAAGAGGGCCATCCAGACGGTGGGGAAGCAGGTGAGGACGTCGATGCTGCAGGTCAACAAGAAGCCGAACCACGACCTCATGCCCGACCCCCCCCCCCCCGTTCTTCACGCGGTTGCCGAGACGTGCAGCGTGGCTCTACACTTGGCGCGTGGTCAGGGGGGGCACCAACCTCGCGCCCTACGAGAAGACCCGCATGCAACTACCAGAAGCCCATCGTCGCAGTCGGCGAGGCAGTGGTCTGCAGGAGGCCAGGAGCCCAGGTCAACAAGCTGGAGTTGTCGTGGCTGGAGGGCATCTGGCTAGGACGCAACGCTGGGACGGACGATCGCCTGATCGGAACACAGGGAGCGCGCTGGTCCAGGGCGGCGAAGAGGAAGGTGGAGAGCCGACGCTGGGACAAGGGGCTGTTCGACCAGATGAGGTGGGCACCCTGGGAACCGACGCCAACCGCGCGGGGGGGCCACCGATGCAAGGGTCACACAGGAGCCGCTTCTACTCGGGCCGTCACCGAAGTACCTGGGCCCGAACGCGGCAGCCGCGGCCGCAGCCGGAGCAGGAGCAGCAGCGGGAGAAGGACCACAGCCAGCACCTCCGCAGCCTGCAGTAGCAGCGGCGGCAGCGCCGCTCGACGACGTGGACGTGGACAAGAAGTGATTGGAGGCGAAGAGGCCCAGGGACGAGGGGGCAGGACTGTCAACGCCGAGGGCGGCGCCGCCACAGCCAGCGGGCATTCCGCCGGTAGAGAGGGGCCCCAAGCGAGAGCGCGAAGGCGGAGAAGGAGGCGAAGGCAATAAGCCCAGCGTCACTACCGCACAGATGATCAGCGCGGTCAGCGAGATGCGCGAGGAGCCACAGGTGGAAGGCGAGGGGGCGCATGCGCTGGAGGGCGACTTCGCGGATGCAGGGAAGGGGCGCTTGGAGAAGATCGCAGGAGACGGCAATGATGCCGCAGAGGTAATCTCGATCACGGACGCGACGTGCAAGATCTCGACGGGGAAGTGGGTCGACACTTAGCAGGCGGACGGCAGCAAGAAAAGTCGGTGGACCACGAGGGGGCTTCGAGCAACAGGTGTACGGGCACGAGAACTCCGTGGCTACGACCCCCTCACTCCCGCACCTGAAGGCGGTGCTGGTCAATGCGGAGTTGCGCAACTTCGTGGTGGCGTTTGGCGGTTGCAGTGGAGCTTTCCACCAGGCACCGCTCACCGAGGGCCGTATCTTCCTGGAACCACCACCAGATTCAGGAGTACCTGAAGGACATGTTCGGGAGGCGCTGTGCGCATTCCCAGGACTCATAGGAGGACCGAAGGCTTGATGGGGGCCACGGTGCAAACACCGTGGAGGAGCTTGAGATGGTCAGGGGCCACTACGACGGGTGCCTCTTCATGAAGCTGAGCAACATGATGATGGCAGGGAGGCGCGCCGACGACTTCCGAAACACGGGACCGAGCGACGAAGCCGACATGTTGCTATGGGAGAGACTGGCGTTATCTGACGTAGTAAAGCTCACCCAGAACGGAGACCAGGCGACGTTCATGAGCATGCAGGTGGAGAAGGTCGAGGGTGGCTACACGACCAGCGGCAAGACGAGCTTGATCGACGACATCCTGAAGGAGTTGGGCCTGGAGACGGCGAAGCCATCAACGCTGCCCAAGACCACGAGCGAGATGCACGCGAAGGGCGACGAGGTGAAGCTAGACGCGGTGGGCCACAGTCGCCACGGGGCCCATGTGGGGGGAGATAGTACAGTTGGCGGGCCACGGCCCTGACATCCAACATGGAGTTGGAGTTCTAAGCAGGGGCATATCAGGACCGACGGGGATGGACCTGAGGAGACTGAAGAAGATGGCCCTGTACCTTGCAGGCACTCGAGACTACAGGATGCAGTTGATTCCGGACAAAGGAGGTCTTGCAGTGGATTGCTGGGTGGACGCAGACTGGACCGATGAGAGACGGACAGGATCCCGACGAGCGGCGGCGTCCTGAAGTACCGCGGACGCACCGTCCTGTCGTGGTCAGGACGCCAGGGTTGCGTGGCACTGCGTTCGGCGGAGAGCGAGCTATACGCGCTGGGGTCGGGGGCAGCGGAGGCCCTCGGACTGGCGTCGCTACTCGATGAGTGGAAGGAGAAGGCGATGCCGCTCGTGATGGGCGACAGAATCCGCGCGCTACACATCGTGAGGAAGCGCGGGCCAGGAATGAAAAAATACGTGGGGATGCGCTTCCTGGCGCCGCAGCAGCGGCGCGAACGAGGACGATTGAGTTCCGGCAAAGCATGCGCCCACGAGAACCCGAGCGACGTGATGACGAAGCCGATGACCAGGGAGAAGCTGGAAATTCTCGGAGGCGGCTGGCCTGAACCCAGGCGGGCCAGACAGGAGCGAGTGAGAAGGTCACCTGCCTGTGTAGCAGAGCATAGGAAGATTCATTTTTGAGTGGGGGGGGGGAAGGACCTCGGTGGCCTAGCTACCCCCCGCTCCATTTTAGAAGCTTTTTTGATTGCGTTTCCCTCCCAGGTCTGGGCCCAGAGTGGACCAGGCGACCTGGAGGGCGCGTTGAGGGAAACCGTGGAGAAAGCAGGTGCAACCAGAGCCTGAGGCGCCACAATTGCGCCACCCTTCCGCAGCTTCTCTGGCACAAAAGTTGTCAGGGATCACGAGGAGAAGGAGGTTGTCCAGAGTAAGCCCACGGTGCGTCGACCGATGCTTGAATACACCTTCCCGTTCGGAGCCCCTTCCTCATGAGTCCGTACAAGTCTTCTTTTCTACGGCGGGCACCCCCCTTGAAGCACGAACGGTCGGTCAGTCCGCCAGTCAAACGAGGGCGCCTGTTCTAAAATATCGCTTCTCCGTTTCAAGACAACCCAGGTTAGCCCCATGTTGAGAAGCACGTGCCCTCCATCCGTTCAAACACTGCAGGATGTCAACATCGTGGACGTCTACTCGGCGGAAGTCGCACGCGAGAGAATTTCAAGGAGACCCAGGGGTACCCCCATTTAGAAAACAGCATGCCCTCCATCCGACAACGGTTTGCCGGATGTCAGAGTCGTGGACGTCTGCTTTGCGGAAGCTTCACGCTAAAGCCCCGTTTCGAAAGATGAGCCGCCCTCCATCCGTAGTAGTTCTTGTACAATATGGAACGCCAGACCGTAGAGGTCGAGGAATGGTCAAGTCTGAGTGTAGATTGGTGACTTTGTCTTCGAAAGTGCGCAAGGCCAGGGGGATACCCGAATACGGCGGGGACGCTCGTTAACGAATGTGCCCAGGAGGCTGCAGACCCTGGAGAATCCCTTATCTGAGGGCGGCGGTGCTATCCTTAGCCGGTCCACGATTAGAGTTTTGACTGCGCCAAGACCATGGATTTTTCTTTAACGGTTCTTTGTGTATTACCCCCACTGTCTTAAAAACGCATTCGCCATCCATTCGCGCAGCAAAAACCGAGTATGCACGGTGCTAGGGCGCGAGTTCTCTTTGAACAGACCCGCGCTCTAGCAGTTTTTTGGTTGTGAAACATGATGGTGCACGGCGCCACCATAGCGATAGTCCCATTGTGACTGCCGCTTGTGGTCCACGCATCACCACGATCTGACTCCACTTGTTCTTTAAAGTCTCCTGCGGGGACGAAGACTGAAGATGCGGATGTTGTTGCTGTTAGTGGCGACGGCGGGCCTGGGAGCGCTTGACTTGGGGAAGGCCCGTACCGTTTGGGAGCGTCTTGGCGCGTCTGGGTGCGCGTGGGGCAGCCTGGTCCAAATTCATAGTCGGCGGGAGGTGCCTCCAACGTATCGATGCTGCCGATGTTGTGTGCTCGTTGTCTGTCTACAACGCCCAGGAGGTATTCGGGATCACGGGGCGGGTCGATGTTGAGGATCAGCTGACGCGCGCCGAATGGTGAGGGTGGTGAGGGTTGGGTCGACGAGTGTGTGCCACTGTTCCCGGAAAGGGCGGGGGCCCAGGGTTCTCTTTTAGTTGGTTACCCACGGAATCGACTTGAAGGAGGCGGGCGGAATTATTTTGCGATAAATGACGAGTTTGAAGGAGGCCAGCGGAATTATTGTTGAGGATGTCTCGAGCGAAGCGCTTGGTTTTCAGAATGTGTTGAGGATGTCTCGAGCGAAACGCTTGATTTATGTCATAGATTGATTTCTCCTGGGGACCTGACTTCAGAGGATCTCTCAAGTGAAATGCTTGTTTTCACGTGCCCAGGTCTTGAGGATGTCTCGAGCGAGACTCTGGTTTCACGCCTCCAGGCTGCCCAGGCAGATGTCTAGCATGAGGATGATGTGTCAAGGAAGTCTTGAACCAGAGGCTTGCTTGCACGTGTCCAGGTCGCCCAGGCGGATGTCCAGCATGAGGATGTGTCAAGGAATTCTCGATCGAGGCGCTTGTTTGCACGTATCCAGGTTGCCCAGGCGGATGTCTAGCATTAGGATGTGCTGAGAACGTCTTGAGCGAAACGCGTGTTTTCGCGTGTCCAGGTCGCCCAGGCACAGCACAGCCCTCGGCACGGTGCATCAATATCGATACCCTTAGCATTGCAGCCTGGCATGTTGACTGGCACATTCCGCGGAGCATCCCGTGGCGAGTCCCCCTGGCACGTCGCGCGGTGCACGTCCATTGGCACGTTCCGTAGCGCGTCCCCTTGGCACGTCCCGCGGTGCGTGCCCATGGTACGTCCCCTGGCACGTCGCCTGGCGCGTCCCTTGGGACGTTCCGCGGCGCGTCCTCCTGGCATGTCACCCTGTCGATTAGTTCTGGGGCAGCTACCATCTGCTCAGGCAGCTCGAGCTTAAGATCCAGATCAGTTCGGTCAGGACTCGGATGCCAGGGAGGACTCGATCCACAGCGCTATATATAGAGCACAATCGCGGCATGGCACATCGCAGTTCGGCACGGCCAGCACAGCGCAGCCCTCGGCACGGTACTTCAAGATCGATACATTCAACATTGCATTTTGGCACGTTCTTTGCCGCGTTCCTTGGCGAGTCCACCTGGCACTTCGCGCGGCACGTCCCCTGGCACGTCCCGAGGCACGTCCATTGGCACGTTCCGTAGCGCGTCCCCTTGGCACGTCCCGCGGTGCGTGCCCATGGCACGTCCCCTGGCACGTCGCCTGGCGCTTCCCTTGGGACGTTCCGTTCTGGGGCAGTTACCATCTGCTCAGGCAGCTCGAGCTTGAGATCCAGATCAGTTCGGTCAGGGCTCGGATGCCAGGGAGGACTCGATTCACAACGCTATATATAGAGCACAATCGCGGCATGGCACATCGCAGTTCAGCACGGCGTAGCACAGCACAGCCTTCGGCGCAGTATATCAAGGTCGATACATTCAGCATTGCTTTCCCCTTTCGCCCAATCAAGTGTATTTGAAACGTTGCCATACCTTACATTTCTATATTCCTTTCCGGGTTCGTGGGTCGATCATGTTGTTTGCGCAGGATGTTGAGGTGTGCGTCGGGTGGAGGCGCATTGGAACATATTTTGTTACATCGGATGATGGTTGGGCCGTGCGGATGTACATTGGATGACATCGTGTACTCGGGTCGGTGAGCGATGGCTCCGGCGGACGTGCACCGAATTGATTTTGTTGCATCGAGTGGTAAGAACGTGCGCCGAATAGGACTTGGTTACATAGGACGGGGAGGGTTGGGCCGAGTGGGCGTGAGCAGTTTTGAACGTTTGCGCAGGATGCTGAGGGGTTGGCCCGGTGGATGCGCACCGATCGGAAAACTGACTTTGCGGTGCGGTTTCGAAGCGGCCCGACCCGTGCTCTCCGCCCAAGTCGTGCGAACACTTCGGAAGGCGAGCCCGCTCGCGCAGAGCGGCAGAGTCCAGGGACAATCGAGCTCGATCAACGTGCGTGCGGGTCGTCGTCCCTCCCATGTTCGTGTCTGCTCCTCCTTCGCACCCTCCTCCCTGATCGTCCCCTCCTCCCCTCGGTAAAATTGAGCAGGACTTCGCAGGCTAGGATATAAGATCGAAGTTGGCTCCGGGATGGTACCCTGGTGTTTTTCGTATTCGATTGATGCTATGATGCATCCTGGGGAGGTGCCCTGGGATGCTATGTTTGATTTGGGCGACGGAGTGTCTCATGTGTTTGACGGATGTGTTTCTGGCCTAGGTCCGACTGTACCGTCGTAGTTTCATTTTCAGAGTGCAGAGTGCACTAGCGATGGTCAGCGATTAGTAATCGATGGGATAGTGCCGATGTTGTGTCGATGAGCGTCGATTAGCGTCGATTAGACGTCGATCCGAGTCTCCTATGAATTGCCATCGAGCTCCCCCTCTTCCTCCTTCCCTCCATTCCCTCCCGCTCGCGAGGCGCGGGACGAGCTTCAGCACCGAAGAGGTCGCGGACTTCCGGGACCTGTTCCTGGCTACCAGCGCGAGCGGCAGTTCATTGGATTTCGAGGCGGGCCTGCTTGCGGCCCTCTTTCGGGGGGGTGAGCGGGTCTTCGTCTTCGTCAGTATTGTGACATCATCATCATCATTATTATTTTCATCATCATCATCATCATCATCATCATCATCATCATCATCATCATCATCATCATCAGTATCATCATCATCATCATCATCATCATCATCATCATCATCATCATCCTCTTATCGCTCATTCTCCTCCTTGCGTCCTCCTCCTCGTCCTCCTTCCGCCTCTTCTCTACGACCTCCTGATCCTCCTGCATCCGTCCTTCTCCTCGTCCTCCCCATCTCACTCCCAGGGTTGCGCCGGCCCGGGCTTGCCCCCGCTGGCCGACAGTGGCGCATCAACGGCCAAGACCACGAGGGCGGTTACGTGACGCGGCTCCCAGCGTGCCTCATACGCCAGTCCATGGCCCGAGTTTCGAGGGTGTCCACTAGGGCCCGAGGCCCGTGGTCCGGAGGAGCAGGAGGAGGAGGAGGAGGAGGGAGGAGGGAGGAGGAGGGGGAGGAGGAGCAGGAACTGGAGGAGGAGGGGGAGGAGGAGGAGGAGGAGGAGGAGGAGGAGGAGGAGGAGGAGGAGGAGGAGGGAGGAGGGGGAGGAGGGGGAGGAGGAGGAGGAAGGAGGAGGAGGAGGAGGAGGGGGAGAAGGAGGAGGCGGAGGAGGAGGAGGAGGAGGAGGAGGGGAAGAAGGAGGAGGAGGCGGAGGAGGAGGAGGAGGAGGAGGGGGAAGAGGAGGAGGAGGAGGAGGAGAGGAGGAGGCGAGGAGGAGGGGAGGGAGGAGGAGAGAGGGAGGAGGGGGACGAGGAGGAGGAGGAAAAGGAGGAGGCGGAGGAGGAGGAGGAGGAGGAGGTCTAGGCTGCGTGTGACTCCAAGCCTCCCGGCTGGGGTCCGAGCAGATGTGGTCGGAGGATCGCGTTGCATTTCCGACGCATCGGCGGTGCGGCTCGATGTGGGCCCATTTTTCTCTACCGCGACGGTGCCGATGCATCGCCGGCGTCGCGGACGCACCGCGGATGCATCGGCGATGCATCGGCGATGCGGCGCGATCCTCCGACCCGCCCGCTCGGACCCCATCTGTTGAAAGGCCTCCATGCACCCCTCGTGCGCGCGCCCGCCTCGGGCAATGGTGCGCACGCGCCCGCCTCTTCTTGGCCCCCCTCCTCGGCGCAGGCACCTCCTCTTCTCATGGCCACCCCTGGTCCGCGAACGCGCCTCTTCTCCTGGCCTGGCCCCCCTCCCGGGCAGTGGGCCGTCGGCGGCGCGCAGCTGCCAGTGCCCGGCCAGCGCTGGTCGCCACCAGCAGCGCGCCGGGGCCTCCGGCGCGCGGAGAACTGTTCCTGTGGAGCAGTACTTATCGTTCTGACACAGCCCCATGGCCATTCCCATCCAGACCTCCCCGCCATATCTCAGCACCCCAGTCAGGGACATCCCTTTCGGAACCCAAAGGGGGGTAAATCGGCCAGAGAGGCCCAGGCCACGCCCGTGGGGAGAGGGGGTCGGCGATGCGATGCTCAGTAGGCCTCGCCGTCTGGAGCCCTGCCCTCGGCGGCGACATCCGAGCCTTCCCTCGCTGGTCGTCGCCGACACGGCTTGCGTCTGCGAAGCAGCGGGCATCCACGGGTGCCTCTGCACGTGCAGGGCGAGTGCCGGTTTGGTGGCGTCAGGTTTTCACCACTTGGTGTCGGCTTCGTTCGACTGCGCCGGGTCCACTGTCGGTGGGGGCGGCGCCAGGTTAGGTGCCCCAGCGTCAAGGTTGGGAGGGGGCATGCACCGTCGCCGATTGACGATTGGGGGGGCATGGCTCGGAATTCGTCGAGCACGTGGCGGAATCGATCGAGCCCGACCCCCGCCTCCCATCGATTTTCAGGAGACTCGCTTGTTGGGGTGGGTGGGGCTCGGATGTCGCCACATTGTCTGTCTCGAAGGCGAAAGATTGGAGGATCGAAGTGGGTACGGAAGAATGGGTACGAAGACCACCAGTTGTTGCCCATCTTGAACAGGACTTGTTGTCGGCGTCGCCGCGGACGCTGTCCATTCGAGACAAAAAGGCGCCTGCCAAACGGGGGCCGCTGTCGGTGTTGGTCAGCATGTGCTTTTGGCGAATCGTGCCAACTGTTTCCGCACAGATTTTGTGCGCCCCTCCAACAAACAACAACAACATGAGCAACATATCTCAGAGCTCCGCGCAGATCTCTTGGATCTGCGCCAGTCCCCCCATGGCGGCACCTCTGGCGCCGCCCCTGGGGGGGGCTCGAAATCCGAGCGGAGTTGCGGCAGTTTCTGCTGTGCGCGGCCTCGCTTCTTCTAGTCTGGAATCCCTCTGATGGGGGTTGGTTTGCGGCCCCTTAGGGCCTTGAATTAGCGCATTAAGCTTGCTAATCTCATGGTGGGCGAAATGAGCTCCGTCCCCTCCCCCTCTCCGTGTAACTGCCCTCTTCCGATCTGTTCGGGGAACTATCAAAGTCAACCGAGTAGATATCCGAATTAATGCCGTCACTTTTTCCCGGAAAGGGCGCGGGCCCAGGGTTCTCTTTTAGTAGGTTAACCCCCCGGCCCCCCTGCGACTTGGGCCGGCGAAATTATTCTGCGATATATTACGAGGTCGCGTAGGGCCGGCGGAATTATTTTTGAGGATGTCCCTAGCGAAACGCTTTTTTTCAGAATTTGTTAAGGATGTCTCGAGCGAAACGCTGGTTTTGCAGAGTTGGGGATGTCTCGAGCGAAACGCTTGTTTTCAGAATTTGTTGAGGATGTCTCGAGCGAAACGCTGGTTTTGCAGAGCCGACCGCGGCGCGGAAAAGCGCCCCGCGCGCAGGAATTCCGATGATGTTTCGCGCGTGCCGCGTCCCGCGCGCAGGAATTTCGAGGATGTCTCGACTAATTCGTTAGTTTTGCCAGGATTTCCTTGAATTTTGGCAGGATGTCTCGAGCGAAATGCTTGTCTTTCATAATTTGTTGAAGACGTTTCGAGCGAAACGCTGGTTTTGCAAAATTGGGGGATGTCTCGAGCGGGGGCCTCGTGGAGGTCCTCGTGGGAGGTCCAGAATTCAGAGGATGTCTCAGGCGAAATGCTTGTTTTCACGTCCCGCTCGCAAGAATTTTGAGGATGTCTCGCGCGTGTCGCGTCCCGCGCACAGGAATTCTGAGGATGTTGGCAGGATGTCTCGAGCGAAACGCTTGTCCCCACCACGTTCCGTAGCGCGTCCCCTTGGCACGTCCCGCGGTGCGTCCCCATGGCACGTCCCTTGGCACGTCGCTTGGCGGGTCCCTTGAGACGTTCCGCGTCGCGTCCTCCTGGTATGTCCCCTTGTCAATTAGCTCTGGGGCAGCTACTATGTGTTCAGGCAGCTCGAGCTTAAGATCCAGATCAGTTCGGTCAGGACTCGGATGCAAAGGAGGACTCGATCCACGAGGCTATAGAGCACAATCGCGGCATGGCACATCGCAATTCGGCACGGCGCAGCACAGCACAGATTTCGGCACGGTACATCAAGATCGATACACTCAGCATTGCAACTTGGCACGTTCCGTGGGGCGTCCCTTGGCGAGTCCCCCTGGCACGTCGCGTGGCGCGTCCCCTGGCACATTCCGTGGCACATCCATTGGCACGTTCCGTAGCGCGTCCCCTTGGCACGTCCGGCGGTGCGACCCCATGGCACGTCCCCTGGCACGCCGCCTGGCGCGTCCCTTGGGACGTTTCGCGGCGCGTCCTCCTGGCATGCCCCCTTGTCCATTAGCTCTGGGGCAGCTAATATTTGTTCAGGCAGCTCGAGCTTAAGATCCAGATCAGTTCGGTCAGGACTCGGATGCAAAGGAAGACTCGATCCACGACGCTATAGAGCACAACCGCGGCATGGCACATCGCAATTCAGCACGGTGTAGCACAGCACAGCCCTCGGCACAGTACATCAAGATCGATACACTCAGCATTGCATTTGCCCGTCACCCAATCAGGTGTCTTTGAAAACGTTGCCATGCGTTACATTTCTATATTCCTTTCCGGGTTCGTGGGTCGATCATGTTTTTCAGCTGTAACTGTACCTTTTTCCCGGAAAGGGCGCCGGCCCAGGGTTCTCTTTTAGTATTGTTGACCCCAGTTTCGACTTGAAGGAGGCCGGCGGAATTATTTTGCGATAAATGACGAGTTTGAAGGAGGCCGGCGGAATTGTTGTTGAGGACGTCTCAGGCGAAACGCTTGTTTTTCAGAATATGTTGAGGATGTCTCGAGCGAAACGCTGGTGTTGCAGAGTTGGGGGGTGTCCTGGCCACACAGGTGGGTATCTAACATGGTGGTCCCGCGCTGGAGCCACGTGTTTTCACGTGTACAGGCCACCCAGGTGGGTATTTAACATGTTGGTCTCGAGCTGGAACCATGTGTTTCACCTGTCGAGGCCACCCACGAGATGTCTAAGATTGTGGTCCCGCGCTGCAGCCATGTGTTTTCGCGTACCCAGGTCGCCCACAGGGTGTATCTAACATGGTGGCCCCGCGCTGGAGCCGCGTGTTTTCACGTGTCCACGCCACCCAGGGGGGTATCTAACATGGTGGTCCTGAGCTGGAACCGCGTGCTTTTACGTGTCCAAGCCACCCATGAGGTATCTATCATGGTGGTCCCGAGTTGGAACCACGTGTTTTCACGTGTGCAGGCCACCCAGGTGAGTATCTAACATGGTGGTCCCGAGCTGGAACCGCGTGCTTTCATGTGTCCACGCCACCCAGGGCGTTATCTAACATAGTGGTCCCGAGCTGGAACCATGTGTTTTCACGTGTCCAGGCCACTCAGGGGGTGTCTAACATGGGCTTCCTGGATCCTTCCTGGGACTCGGATCGGAACGTCGAGAGTTTATTTGTATTTGGTATCGATTCGTTTACTTTTTGGCCTCCAGGCGCCTCTGGGCGTTCCTGGGCCCTCCTGCGCTCCAGACGACCGCATGTTAGATATCCCCCCTGGGTGGGCTGGACCACGTGATGTTACGTGTGCAGGCCACCCAGGGGGGTATCTAACATGGTGGTCCCGAGCTGGGACCATATGTTTTTACGTGTCCAGGCCACCCAGGGGGATATCTAACATGGTTGTCCCGAGCTCGAACCACGTGTTTTTACGTATCCAGGCCACACAGGGGAGTATCTAACATGATTGTTCTGAGCAAGGACCACGTGTTGTAACGAGTCCAGGCTATTCGGGGGTGTCTATAGCATGGTTTCTCGAGCTGGCACCATGTGTTTTTCCCGGAAAGGACATAAGCCCAGGGTTCTCTGTTAGTTGTTGACTTGAGGTGGGCCGGCGAACTTCTTTTGTGATAAATGTCGAGGTCGAGGTGGGCCGGCGAATTAGAATTGTGAGGATGTCTCGAGCGAAACGCTTGTTTTCAGAATTTGTTGAGGATGTCTCAAGCGAAACGCTTGCTTTGTCTTATAGATTGTCCTCTCCTGGGGACTTGAGGATCTCTCAAGTGAAATGCTTGTTTTCACGTGTCCAGGTCTTGAGGATGTCTCGAGCGAGACGCTTGTTTTGTGTTATATATTGCCCTCTCCTGGGGACCTGAATTCTGAGGATCTCTCAAGTGAAATGCTTGTTTTCACGTGCCCAGGTCTTGAGGATGTCTCGAGCGAGACGCTGCCCAGACAGATGTCTAGCATGAGGATTTGTTGAGGATGTCTCGAACCAGAGGCTTGTTTTCACGTGTCCAGGTCACCCAGGCGGATGTCTAGCATGAGGAGGAAGTCTCGATCGAGACGCTTGTTTGCACGTGTCAAGGTTGCCCAGGCGGATGTCTAGCATGAGGATGTGCTGAGAACGTCTTGAGCGAAACGCTTGTTTTCACGTGTCCAAGTCGCCCAGGCATAGCACAGCCCTCGGCACGGTGCATCAATATCGATACCTTTAGCATTGCAGCCTGGCATGTTGCCTGGCACGTTCCGCGGCGCGTCCGGTGGCGAGTCCCCCTGGCACATCGCGCGGTGCACGTCCATTGGCACGTTCCGTAGCGCGACCCCTTGGCACGTCCCGCGGTGCGTGCCCATGGCACGTCCCCTGGCACGTCGCCTGGCGCGTCCCTTGGGACGTTCCGCGGCGCGTCCTCCTGGCATGCCCCCCTGTCGATTAGTTCTGGGACAGCTACCATCTGCTCAGGCAGCTCGAGCTTAAGATCCAGATCAGTTCGGTCAGGACTCGGATGCAAAGAGGACTCGATCCACAACGCCATATAGAGCACGATCGCGTCATGGCACATCGCAGTTCAGCACGGCCCAGCACAGCACAGCCGTCGGCATGGTACATCAAGGTCGAGATATATATATATATATATATATATATATATATTCAGCATTGCACCTCGGCACGTTCCTTGGCGCGTTCCGTGGCGAGTCCACCTGGCACGTCGCGCGGCGCGTTCCCTGGCACGTCCCGCGGCACGTGCATTGACACGTTCCGTAGCGCGTCCCCTTGGCACGTCCCGCGGTGCGTGCCCATGGCACGTCCCCTGGCACGTCGCCTGGCGCGTCCCTTGGGACGTTCCGCGGCGCGTCCTCCTGGCATGCCCCCCTGTCGATTAGTTCTGGGACAGCTACCATCTGCTCAGGCAGCTCGAGCTTAAGATCCATATCAGTTCGGTCAGGACTCGGATGCAAAGAGGACTCGATCCACAACGCCATATAGAGCACGATCGCGTCATGGCACATTGCAGTTCAGCACGGCCCAGCACAGCACAGCCCTCGGCACAGTACATCAAGATCGATACATTCAGCATTGCATTTGCCGTCGCCCAATCAGGTGTCTTTGAAACGTTGCCATGCCCTGCAGTTCTATATTCCTTTCCGGGTTCGTGGGTCGATCATGTTAGGTGTCCAGGCCATCCAGGGGTAGATCTATTATGGTTGCCCCGAGCAAGGGCCACGCATTTTAACGTTCCGTAGCGCGTCCCTTCGGCACGTCCCGCGGTGCGTCTTCGTGGCACGTCCCTTGGCACGTCGCCTGGCGCGGCCCTTGGAACGTTCCGCGGCACGTCTTCCTGGCATGTTCCCCTGTCAATTAGCTCTGGAGCAGCTACCATCTGCTCAGGCAGCTCGAGCTTCCGATCCATATCAGTTCGGTCAGGACTCGGGTGCAAAGGAGGACTCGATCCGCAACGCTATAGAGCACGATCGCGGCATGGCACATCGCAGTTCAGCACAGCGCAGCACAGCACAGCCCTTGGCACGGTACATCAAGATCGATACATTCAGCATTGCAACCTGGCACGTTCAGTGACGCTTCCCGTGGCGAGTCCCCCTGGCACGTCGCGCGGCGCGTCCCTGGCACGCCCCGTGGCACGTCCATTGGCACGTTCCGTAGCGCGTCTCTTTGGCACGCCTCGCGGTGCGTCTTCGTGGCGCGTCCCTTGGCACGTCGCCTAGCGCGGCCCTTGGAACGTTCTGCGGCGCGTCCTCCTGGCTGGTTCCCCTGCCAATTAGCTCTGGGACAGCTACCATCTGCTCAGGCAGCTCGAGCTTTCGATCCAAATCAGTTCGGTCAGGACTCGGATGCGAAGGAGGACTCGATCCACAACGCTATAGAGCACAATCGCGGCATGGCACATCGCAGTTCAGCACGGCGCTGCATAGCATTGCCCTCGGCAGGGTACATCAAGATCGGTACACTCAGCATTGCAACCTGGCCCGTCGCCCAATCAGGTGTCTTTGAAACGTTGCCACGCATTACATGTCTACATTCCTTTCCAGGTTCGTGGGTCGATCATGTTCCTAAAATTATCAAGTGCATTACTTGCGGTCACTTCAGCAGACTCCAGGCTGGAGGAGGGAGGCGGAGAAGGCGGGGGAAAGCGGAGGAGAATGAGGAGGAACAGCGGTTGATGAAATTGATCAAGGAAGAAGACGAACAAATCTTTTATCAAATGAATAGTGCTGATCAAATTCTAGACGGTTCGCGTAACCTCACCAGCGTCCGTAGCCCTGGCTCAAGCCATTTCCATGCCTTTAGGCCCAGTAGATTGTTGCAACCTTCAAATCGCCTGGCCAGCAGGTTGCCGCGCCATCACGATGGGGTGCTGCATGGCGCTCGGGCGATCGCAGGAGGTGGAGGAGCCCTTCGACCTGACCCGGTACACGGACGCGGAGAGCCTGTTCGACGCGCTCGCGTGCACCGTCGAGGGCCACCACCCCCTGCGCTTGGTGCGCATGTCGTGGCTGCTAGAGCAGCGCGGCTCGGTCCTGAAGAGGCGCCAGGAGCTGCCCGAAGAGGCCTTCGTGTCCTCGGAGGAGCTCCGCGCCGTCTGGGAGGCGGGCGACCGAGGAGGTGATGACGCTGTTGCGCCGATCATCGCCATCTCATTCTGCTGGGATGCGCGCGATCACCCCGACCCCGAAGGGGTGCAGATGAATTTGGTGATCGACACTTTGGAGCAAGAGCGCGGCAAGTACTCCAGGATAGAAGGGTCTTTCGGGGGGGTCAGCGAGATGGGCGTGTTCTGGGACTGGCCCCCGCTCCTGCAGTGCGACCCCGACAAGGCCCAGGAGGCGAAGGCCGCCGCCCTGCGGGAGGGCAAGAGCGAAGCGCATGCCCAGGAGGCCGCGGACGAGGCCAAGCGCACGCCCGCCGAGAAGGCTGCGTTCAAGCACGCCTTGCACGAGACGATGGACCTCTGGTACGCCCACCAGGGCACAACCGTCTTCCTGCTGACGCAGCATCCCAGGGAGCAGGGCAGCACGCGCGAGTGCGGCTACGACCAGTCGGGCTGGACGACGTACGAGCGGTGCTCCGCGGAGCAGATCAAGAAAGTGCTTCGCCATTGTGCTCATTGGTCTGCCGTGGCCGACCTGGGGCAGGGGGCGGGAGCGGCAGCGGCTGGCAGGCGGTGGCCAGTGGGCCCTGACGAGTTTGACCAGCTCATCGAGGGCAAGACCTTCACCAACGGCGCGGACCGGGAGGCGGTGAAGACGCTCTTCCGCCGGATGAGCCGCGCGCAGCTGGGCGGCGTGACGGAGCTCAACTTCGAAGGAATGCCGCCCCCGACCCCCGAGCAGGCCGCGGGGCTCGGCGGCTGCCTGCGGCTGTGCGCCCGCGTCGGGCAACGACATCGGCGGCGCCGGGACGGAGGCCCTGGCACGGGCGCTGCCCTCCATGCCCAGCCTGTCTTTTCTGTTCCTGTCGAACAACGGCATCGGCGGCGCCGGGGCGGAGGCCCTGGCGCGGGCGCTGTCCTCCTTGCCCGGCCTGCTTTCTCTGTCCCTGTCAAACAGCGGCATCGGCGGCGCCGGGACGGAGGCCCTGGCACGGGCGCTGCCCTCCATGCCCGGCCTGCTTTCTCTGTCCCTGTCGAACAACGGCATCGGCGGCGCCGGGGCGGAGGTCCTGGCACGGGCGATGCCCTCCATGCCCGACATGGAAACCCTGAAGCTGTCGAACAACGGCATCGGCGGCGCCAGGGCGGAGGCCCTGGCGCGGGCGCTGCCCTCCATGCCCGGCCTGTCTTTTTTGAAACTGTCGGACAACAGCATCGGAGGCGACGGGGCCGTGGCCTTGGCACGGGCGCTGCCCTTCATGCCCGCCTTGCGGTTTCTGTCCCTGTCGGACAACGGCATCGGCGGCGCCGGGGCGGAGGCCCTGGCGCTGGCGCTGCCCTCCGCGCCCGACCTGACGGATCTGTGGCTGTCGAACAACGGCATCGGCGGCGCCGGGGCGGAGCTGCGCGCCGCCTGGGGCGACCGGCGCCCTGATTTATTGCTGCTCTGAGCCGCGGACGTTCCCCGTGGGTGGGGGAAAGGCGTGAAGACTCCTTTTGGGGAAGGCGCCCACGGCAGTTTTTCCCGGAAAGGGCTGAGGCCCAAGGGTTCTCTTTTAGTGGGTTTACCCCCGGGTTTGACTTGAGGTGGGCCGGCGAATTTCTTTTGCAATGAATATCGAGGTCGAGGTGGCACGCGAAAACGAATTGTGGAGGATGTATCGTGCGAAACGCTTGTTGTTTCAGAATGTGTTGAGGATGTCTCGAGCGAAACGCTTGCTTTGTGTTATTGTCCTCTCCTGGGGACCTGAATTCTGAGGATCGCTCAAGTGAAATGCTTGTTTTCACGTGCCCAGGTCTTGAGGATGTCTCGAGCGAGACGTTTGGTTTCACGCCTCCAGGTTGCCCAGGCAGAGGTCTAGCGCCAGGATTTGTTGAGGATGTCTCGAACGAGACGCTTGGTTTCGCGCGTCCTCGTCGCCCAGGTGGATGTCTAGCATGAGGATGTGTTGAGGAAGTCTCGATCGAGATGATTGTTTGCACGTGTCCAGGTTGCCCAGGCGGATGCCTAGCATGAGGATCTGTTCAGAATATCTCGAGAGATACGCTTGTTTTCACGTGCCCAGGTTGCCCAGGCGGATGTCTAACATGAAGATGTGTTGAGGATGTCTCGAGCGAGACGTTTGTTTTCACAGGTGCAGTTCACCCAGGCGGATGTCTAGCATGAGAATGTGTTGAGGATGTGTTGAGCGAAACGTTTGTTTCACGTGTCCAGGTCGCTCAGGCGGATGTCTAGCATGAGGATTTTGACAAGATGTCTCGAGCGAAACGCTTGTCCCCAACACGTTCCGTAGCGCGTCCCCTTGGCACGTTCCGCGGGGCGTCCCCATGGCATGTCCCCTGGCACGTTCCGCGGTGCGTCCCCTGGCATGTCCCCCTGTCAATGGGACAGCTACTATGTGTTCAGGCAGCTCGAGCTTAAGATCCAGATCAGTTCGGTCAGGACTCGGATGCAAAAGGAGGACTCGATCCACAACGCTATAGAGCACACTCGCGGCATGGCACATCGCAATTCAGCACGGCGCAGCACAGCACAGCCCTCGGCAGGGTACATCAAGATCGGTACGCTCAGCATTGCATGTGCCCGTCACCCAATCAAGTGTCTTTGAAAACGCTGCCATGCGTTACATTTCTATGTTCCTTTCTGGGTTCGTGGGTCGATCATCTTGGTAACGGCGATGGCCCGTCTAGGCCAGAGCGTGCAGTCCAGAGTTGCGCAGAGTGCCAGATTGTGCGCTTCGGAGTGCTGAACATCGAACCTTGGGGTCATGTTCTTCTCGTATCTGCTTCCAGTTGCTTCTTAGGGTTGAGCCTCCAGAGCTGTGGCAGGAGTTCAATCATATTGCGCCCTGCACGCCCTGCAACATCGTACCTTTCGATCGTCGTGGCGCCTGCACGCCATTGAGCATCGCCACCTTTCGATGCGGACCCTCGTGTGGAGGCGCGCGCGCGCGCCCTTGTCCTCCCCTGGTCGTCTTTCCTCGTCCTCCATCGCCCCCCCTCCCTCGCTGCAAGGTCATCCGGCGGGCTGGAACAAGCGCCGCGTAGAGCTCCTGCCCAGCGTTTGCTAAGCACTAGGGCGCCGCCTGGGCTCCTCCTTTGCCGCATGGCTGGTGCGGGCCGTCCCTTTCGATTGTCCGCCCGCCCTCTGCTGCACCTCCGCCTCGGCCTTTCGGCCCTACGGCCCGTGGCCTGCGGCGTCCCTCCCCGACCTGAGGTCGGCTGACCTCGTCGGTCACACCCCACCGTGCGGGTTCCTCCCCGACGGTCCCCACGCGGGGTCCTCATGCCTACCACGGTGCGCGAGCGCCCGCCCGCACCCACCCGCCCGGCACGCGGTCTCGACACCAGTCCTTGTCGGTGTCTGGCGGTTCTGACTCTTGGTCTGTTGAGCGCCTGCATGGAGTTGGTCGATGCTTGCCGGTGCGTGTGACTCGACCGCTACTGTCGTCGGAGGGACCGTTGGCCCTGACGCTGGTCTTCGTGGTGAGTTCTGCCGGTGGTCCCCATCATCAGCACGCTCGCCGAATTCCCCGCCACGTTGGCGATGCAGTCCGCCTGGAAATTCCCCCCGTCGACGGCGCCCTCTTCTGAGCGGCAGCGAGGCCCGCCTCCTGTCAGTTCCTCCCCCCGCTGTCCCCTCGTCGCCTCCCTTCCTTCCCCATTGGCGCAATTTGCTCGTAGGTTACTTGCTGCGACCTTTGACGGCGCCCGGCGTCCTCCGGTGCGCTCGCGATCGACAGAAAACTCCCGCCAGCCCATCCAGAAACGATGTCCAAAAGAAGTGTCTCAATCGTGGAAGTGGGCGGCACGCAGAGGAAGGGCTCCCAGTGGAGGCCTCTTGGAGCGTCTTGGGGGCGTTTTGGCGGCCCCAGACGCTTCTCGGAGCGTCGTGGGTGCCTCGGGGAGCGTCTTGGGGCCTCTAGGTGGTTTCTTGAGGGCCTCTTGGAGGCCTTTGGGGCGCTTGGTGGGGCCTCCTGGGCGCCTGTTGGGGCCCCGTGAAGCGAAGCGCTCTTTTGAAACGTTGGGACCGCTCTTAGAGCCCTCTTCGGCCATTTTGGACTCATTTTGAGGCCTCGGATGGGCATCAGAAGCGAAAAGGCGAGAAAACCCAAAACACTGATTTTCCAAGGGTTCTGGACGAATGTGGACCTCTTCGGGGCCCCCTTGGGTAGCTTTTTGGCAATTCGGAACCGTTTTGGAGCGTTCTTGGGGCCTCTGGGAGCATCGTGGGGGAGATATTGATGCATCTTGGGATGTCTTGATCCATCTTGGGGGTCATCTTGGGCTGTCGCTGGCGCTCTTGGAGTCATCTTAAGCAAGCCCCCCCCCCCAGGATGGCAAAATGTTGCCAAAACCCTTATACAGCCAATGATTTTGGCATTCTCGTCGAGGCCTCTTGGAGCGTCGTCGGTGCATCTGGGGGGCCTCTTGGGGCCTCCTGGGGGTCTCTTGGGAGCCTCTTGGGGGCATCCCGGGGGCCTCTTAGGGGCCTCTTGGGGCCTTCTGGCCACCTATTGGGGCCCTCTTGGGGTACCTTTTTGGGAGCCTTGGGAGCGCTCTTCGGGCCATCTCGGAGGAGATCGGTCCAAAAAGGGGGGGCGTCACTTAGCCTCCCCCCGCAGGACGCCAAACTGAGGCCAAAACTTGCGTAAAACAAATGATTTTGGCTTCCTCGCCGAGGCCGTTTCAGACGCTCCGACCGCTCGCGGAACGCCCCGTCCAGGTCCAGGGGGGGGGGGGCGGGGGGAGCGGCAAACCCCTCCCCGAAGTGGAAGAGGGAGGGGTGGAAGAGGACACGCCTTAAACCACCTACGCCCAGAGGGCTGGTGGGATTGACGGACCGATATTGTATTTAACGTTTTGCGTTGTTTGCTTTCTTTCCCAGTAAGAGCGCGAGGCCAGGGGCTTCTCTCTTGTAGTTGTGTAAGGTCTCCCCGGTGCCATGACTGAGGTGGGCCGGCGGATTTTTTGTTGATAATTATCGAGGTCGATGTGGACCGGCGAATTAACATTTGAGGATGTCTCGAGCGAAACGCTTGTTTTGTTTATAGTATTTTGTTGAGGATGTCTCCTAGCGAAACGCTGGTTACGCAGAGTTGGGGGATGTCTCGAGCGGGGGCCTCGTGGGGGGCCAAAATTCAGAGGATGTCTCAAGCGAAGTGCTTGTTTTCACGTGCCCAGGTCGGCCAAGAGGGTATCCAACATGGTTGTCCGTCGCTGGCGCAGTCATTGGCAAACTCTATTCGGTAAACCACTTGAGCACCCCAAAGGGCGAAATCGTGAGGATGCCTCGAGCGGGGGCGTCGTCTGTGAGTGAATTAACAACAAGTCTCAGGCGGGAGCTCCTTCCCTATTGGGCCCGCAGCTCAAGTCAGTAACTTCAAGAAGGCATTCAGAAACCCCCCTCCCCCCCTCGTCTTTCCGGTGGATTATAACGCCCCCGCACCCTGGAGCGTTATGGCCGCACCGGAGGACCTGGATGCGGGGACTCGGGGCCTAGCTAGGGCTTCGCAGGGCCTAGCAGTGTTCAGCAGAGGTTAGCACAGGTTAGCAGGGGCTAGCAGAGGTGCGTAGCAGGGCTCTTAGCAGAGCTCAGCAGCTCTCAGCAGGGCTTACATGTAGCAGGGCTTACAGGCAGCAGGGCCTAGCAAGGCTTACCAGGGCCCAGCAGGGGCATAGCAGGGCCTAGCATGGCTCAGCAGGGCCTAGCATAGCAGGGCTTAGCAGGGCTTGGCATTGCCTGGCATGGCTTAGCAGAACTTGGCAGGGCTCAGCAGGACTTAGCAAAGTTTAGCAGGGCTAAGCAGGGCTAAGCACGGGGGGGCTAAGCATCGCCTACCAAAGTTTAGCAAGGTTTAGCAGGGCTCAGCAGGGTTCATCAGGGCCTAGCAGGGCTCAGCAGAGGTTAGCAAGGCTTGGAGAGGCCGAGCAGGGCTTTAAAAGGCATGGCATGGCTTCGGAGGGCAGCAGGGCTTAGCAAGGCTTGTCTGGACTTAGCATTGCTTAGCAGGGCTTTGCAGGGCTCTGCAGGGCCTAGCAGAGCCCAGCAGGGCCGAGCAGGGCTTATCAGGACGTAGCAAGGCTTACCAGGGCGTAGTAAGGCTCAGCAGGGCCCAGCAGGCCCTTTCAGTGCCCAGCACAGGGCATAGCAGGGCTAAGCGGGGCCTAGCAGGTCTTAGTCGGGCTTAACAGTGCCTAGCAGGGCTTAGGACGGCTCAGCACGGCGCACCAGGGCCCAGCAGTGCCTAACAGGTCTTAGCAGCGCAGGGCTTCGCAGGTTTATACATATGTATATATATATATATATACAGCAGGGCTTAGCAGGGCGTAGCAGGGCTTAGCAGGGTTTAACAAGGCCTAGCAGGTCATAGCAGGGCGTAGCAGGGTGCAGCATGGCTTAACATGGCTTAGCAGGGCTCAGCAGGGCTTAGCAAGGCTTAGCACGGCT